TTCCCTTGAGAAGGAATACACTACAAGCTGACGAACCTAAAAGGAAATAGAAAGAATACAAGAAAGAAAAAAAAAAAAAAAGAAAGAAAGAAAGAAAGAAAGAAAGAAAGAAAGAAAGAAAGAAAGAAAGAAAGAAAGAAAGAAAAACACTCACAGCATTCTTGGAAGCGGGGAGAACATGTGCAAAGGTCCTGGGGCAGCAAAGCGGCTGGCCAGTGCCCAAGGAACTGAAAGAAGACCAATGTGACAGGAGTGGTGTGAGTACAGAGAAGCAGGGAGGAAGACGGCTGGAGAGGAGGGGCTGGGGCCGGGGCACAGAGTTTTACTCCAGGTTTGGATTTTATTCTAAGTACAATGGGGTGCTGCTACTGAGGGGTTTTAATGAGATATGGGGGACGAAGGATGTAATACCATCTCCTCCTTCACCCCCAGCTCCACCTCCTCCTCTCTCCTCTTCCCTCTCCCTCGTACTAAATCTCCCCCCCCCCACCACCACTCCTCTTCTTTTTCTCTTTCTTTTCCTTCTTCTAAGATCATCACTTTTGGTGCTATGTAAAGAGCAGACTGGAGGTGGCCAGAAGTTCCAGGAAGGAGGCATTTCAGGAGCAATGTCACGGGGACCTGCACTTGGGTGTGGGCAGGTGTCAGGAGACAAGGGCGCAATCAGATGTGTACTGGAGTTGGATGGACAGGCTTCACTGATGGGTGGGGGGAGTGCCTCCTGTGCCTGCCCTTTCTGGGGGCCTCTGCCCCACCACACAGTGGCACCCCCAGCTCACAGGCTCACGGGTGGCCCTTCCTGGGAACATCCTCAGGGACGTAGTGCACTCAGTTCAGCTTCTCCCCACTGCTGATGGAGAACAGTCTGGGAGAACATTCCCCATGGGTGGGTCTAGGGGAGAGGATGGGGAGTCAGAAAATCTGGTGCCAGCTCTGGCTCTGCTGCCAATTTGCTAAACGACTCAGGCCAGTCACCTAACCTTGCTGCGTCTCAGCCTCCGTGTCTGCAAAATGAAAGTCAGTGAGCTGTACTCCTCAGTCACTGATGGTGTTCCGAGGCCCACAGACTCAGCGTGTCACTGCGTTTCCTGGAGAATCTGCTTCTGACCCGGGTAACTGTGGGCCGAGGGGTTGAAAGAGATCGTTGAACACAGAGCTCTAGACCAGCAGTCATGCAGTGTTGAGTGAAAACTAGCTCCCACAGGCTGGCCCTCTCTGCTTAAACGCCATATTCCCGGACCTGGGTAAGAGACACGGGGATGGAAAGGGAGAGTAGATAAGAGACAAGCCAGGGAGGAGCGATGGGACTTGGCCATTGGATGGACATGAGAAATGCAGACGAGCAAGGACTCCAAGATGGCGTGAAAGGCTGGGCAGCACGACAGTCTGCCACGCTACTCGGCGCACTGTGTGCATCGCCTTTTGGATTTCTCTGGACGTAAAGCCAAAGCCTGTGACTGCAGAGTCTGCACCTTCCCAAGCTGGTGAAGAACTTCCTGGAATGTCTGTCCCCCAGTGTCCCTCCTATGAAATGGTGCCAACACAGCTCTGTGACCTCGCCCAAGGGCTGGTTGTGGCGACGACAGTCTACCGCATGAGCTGTGGGAGGCCGTGAAGGGACGCAGGCTGAGTCCCCTCACCCAGGATCACTGGACCACCCCTCGCAGACGAACTCTCCGTCCTGCATCCATTCCACGTCCTCCCCAGGCGCCTCCTGCGACGCCTTCCTCCTCCCATAACCAGCACCCCGATGCCGTCCTCTTCTCCCACCTGAGTTCTCTCCCTTCAAAGCCACAGAAACGGAAGGCACGCAGAGAGGTCAGGAGAGGGGACCGAGAGGTGTTTACACACCTGGAGGGCAAGGACTGAGCCTTTTCCTTCCTCTCTTGTTCTCAAACTTCTCTGCACGTACTGGGAATTTTGGCTGTTGAAGCATGAAATATTGACTTGTTTATGCTCTTGGCACCTTATTTGGGTGAATGTGCCTTTTCAAAATCAAGATGTTCTGGGTTTTTTCTAAAAAAATATAAAAATATCCCAAAACAGAAAGGAGGACTGAGGGTAACCATATAAAAACACTTTAAGCTGAGAGAAATAACCCAGTCCCACCAAGTCCCAAAGAGAACCTTGGTTTCCATGGGCGATTCACAGCGGACAGGGCTGCTAGCAGTGGGTGGGATGGGGCGCCTGCTCTCAGTTCAAATAAGCAAATATCCTTCCCAGATCCAGCCACCTTGCCCCACATGTTGTGGCTCCAATTTGCTTCCTGTTTTCGGCCCTCCCAGAAATACATCTCACAGACTTTTTTTATTTTCATCTCCTCACCTTGAAAAGCACAGATTTGCAAGTGTGAGTATCTTAGCAGACAGACAAATCCAGCAGGCATTCAAGACATTCAGGCGAGAAGAAATGCATCTCATCGGAAAATTTCCATTGCCAGCACTTTTCAAAAAAAATATTCCCAAGATAAATGGGTTTTTACTTGGAGGACTAAGGGCTCTGTGATTTTTCAAATCTTTTGCTGCTTCCACGAAGCCAAGAACATTGGTCACGCACTTGGCCAGCTGATCCGACCTCCAAAATCTTCTGCCCTTAATGAAAAGGCCTGAATTTTTCCTCCCCTTTGATAAATGTGTCTTTTCCCCTTCCCGGCAGTATTCAGCACGTGGGGTGGGCAGGCATGGTGCCCGGTTTATGCAAATGGGCAGAAACACCTGGTTTACCAAGACTCTTCCCACTGCCTCCAAGAACCCTGCTCGGGACGACCCCGGAAGGGGGAAGCCGATGACCCAGGGACACGGTATCTAGGGGACTCAGAGAGCAAGTACATGC